AAGTGGGTTGGTGCAGACTCTGGAAGCTCGTAGTCACACAGGGGCCGGTAGAGAAGACTGCACTCTTTCTATTGTTCCAGTGTGTGTTAAATCAGTTAAAGGAACTAAAGTAGTCATGACTTACGCTTTTCTGGATCCTGGAAGTACTGCTACTTTTGCTACTGAGACACTGATTAATGAGTTGAACATGAATGGACATAACACCAGTATTTTATTAAGGACAATGGGACAAGAATCTGTTGTTAATACTTGTATTGTGAATGGACTAGAAGTCAGCAGTCTGGATTGTGAACGCTTCGTACAGTTGTCAGAAGTTTACTCACAAAAGCTGATTCCAGTAAACAAAGAGAACATCCCCCGCCAAGAGGATGTGAATAAATGGCCGCATCTGAAACAAGTGAAAATCCCTGTTATTCAAGCTGAAATTGGATTGCTTATCGGAGCAAATGTTTCTCAAGCTATGGAACCACTTCAAGTGGTGAAAAGTGTGGATAATGGACCATACGCTGTGAGAACGTTACTCGGCTGGACAATACACGGACCGCTCAGAGGCGGAGAGTCCAGGCAAACTGATACGACTAAAGTGTCGGTAAACAGGATTTCGGTTGCTAGATTGGAGGAGCTCTGGCAGCTTCAATTTAAACAAGATTTTCCTGATGCTGGACTAACAGAAGAGCTTGAAATGTCAAAAGATGACCATCAATTTATCTCCATGATTTCACATTCTGCTGAGATGAAAGATGGACATTACAACATCTGTCTTCCAATCAAGGCAGAGCCACTGCATATGCCGAACAATAGATCAGTGGCAGAGCAACGTGCACTGAATCTGAAAAGAAGATTTTCCAGAGATGAACAATATCACAAAGAATATGTGGCATTTATGGATGGCATCTTGGAAAAAGGCTATGCAGTAGAAGTTCCACATCATGAAAATGAGAGAAAGAACAAAATTTGGTACTTACCTCACCATGGAGTCAGACATCCGGTGAAACAGAAGCTGCGTGTTGTCTTCGATTGCGGAGCTGGTTATGGTGGAACATCTCTGAATCAGGAACTGCTGCAAGGTCCAGACTTGACGAGTACTTTAATTGGAGTGCTTTTGAGATTCTGTCAAGAGACAATTGCCATGATGGCTGATGTGGAGGCTATGTTTTATCAAGTCCAAGTGAGTGAGTCAGACACAGACCTCCTCAGATTCCTCTGGTGGCCTCATGGTGATTACACACAAGAGCTGTGGTGGAGTACAAGATGAAAGTTCACATTTTTGGAGCTACTTCTTCACCAAGTGTAGCCACATTTGCAATGCAAAAATGTGCATCTGATTTTGGAAAGGAGTTTTCCCAAGAAGCTGAGAGAACTGTCTTCAAGAATTTTTATGTGGATGATTTGATTAAGTCAACTGTGGATGAGGACAGTGCTATTCTGCTTGCATCTGATCTAACAAAGTTGCTGGCAAAAGGAGGCTTCAAGTTAACAAAGTGGTCTAGTAATAGCCGAAGATTGTTAAATACCATTCCAGCAAATGAAAGAGCCAATGGATTTCAAGATTTGGATTTGGATCAGGATTACTTACCAGTGGAGAGAGCTCTTGGAGTACAGTGGTGTGCTGAAACGGACAAGTTCATCTTTCAGATCAATCTAAGAGAGCGCCCACACACTAGAAGAGGATTACTTTCCCTGGTTAGTTCTATTTTTGATCCACTAGGGTTCCTCGCTCCAGTTATTTTGCCAGCCAAGAGACTTCTGCAGGGAATCTGTCGCCTGAAGTACTCTTGGGATGAAGAGCTCCCGGAGAGCATTGTTAAGAGCTGGACGAAGTGGATCGCTGGACTCAAGCATCTGGAGGGATTTGGAGTGGACAGGTGCGTTAAAACTAAACATTTTGATTCACATATCTCTGCGCAGATTCACCATTTTGCTGATGCGAGTGAAGATGCGTATGGCACGGCAAGCTATCTGGTGCTGCACAACTCCAAAGGTCAAGCGCAGTCCACTCTTCTTATGGCCAGAGCCAGAGTGGCACCGCTGAAAACTCCTACAATTCCACGGCTGGAGTTAACTGCTGCTACAGTTGCAGTTAAGATGGATAAGCTGCTGAGAAAGGAGCTGGAGTTGGATCTTGAAGATTCAGTTTTCTGGACTGATAGTACTGCTGTCATCAAATATCTGAACAGTGAAACGGCACGATTCAAGACATTTGTGGCTAATCGTGTGACAGCCATCCTGCAGCATTCACAACCGTCTCAATGGAGGTATGTTAGTTCCATCTCTAACCCTGCAGATTATGTTTCCAGGGGACTAACTACTGATGCCTTTACATCATAGGAAAATTGGCTGTGTGGACCAGATTTCATTCTCCATTCTTCTGATCTGTGGCCCACAAATCCAGATCCTACAGTTTTGGTGGGTGAAGATTTGGAAGTGAAAAGAGTGGCTCAAATACACGCCATCCAATCACAAATGCTCAACACTGCGACAGACAAGGTAATGCTTCATTTCTCTTCTTGGATCAAGTTGAAGCAAGCTGTCGTCTGGTTTCTCAAGCTGAGAACGGTGCTGATGGAGCTGAGAGCCAAAAGAAAAGAGTTACAGATATTGAAGGATGAAAACAAGATGGACGTTTTCAAAAGGAGTTTTAAAGGAACGAAAATTACGTGTGCTGATTTGGATGAAGCAGAGCTGGAGATCGTGAAGTATGTTCAAAGGCAGTATTACCACGATGACATGATGATGCTGAAGGAACATCACAGAGTCAAAAGAAGTAGCCCACTACGCAAGCTCAATCCAGTGTTTCAGCATGAGGTGATGCGAGTGGGCGGAAGATTGAGTCGTTCGGCCATGCCTGCTGAGAGTAAGCAGCCGGTTATTTTGCCAAAGCAGTCTCATGTTGCCATTTTATTGTTAAGAGACATTCATGAATTTACGGCTCATTCTGGCAGAAACCACATGTTGGCAAAACTCAGAGAGAAGTTTTGGATCCCTGGAGCTAATGGAGCTATCCGGACGCTGCTATCAAAGTGCACAACCTGCAGAAGATTGCATGGTGCAGCTGGAAAACAGTTAATGGCTGACTTACCTGAGTGTCGGCTGCTTCCTGACGACCCGCCCTTTACCAGAGTTGGAATGGATTACTTTGGTCCTTTCCTGGTGCGGAGAGGGAGAGCCCATGTAAAGAGGTATGGAGTAATCTTCACATGTCTAGCTGTGAGAGCTGTCCACCTTGAAGTCGCACATTCTTTGGACACGGACGCATGTCTTAATGCCATCAGAAGATTTGTGGCTAGACGAGGACAAGTGAAGGAGATGTACTCTGATAATGGCACTAACCTAAGAGCAGCAGACACGGAACTGAAGCAAGCAGTGGATCAATGGAATACAAGCCAGATCGAAAGGAATCTACAGCAAAAGGGAATTTCATGGCATTTTAACCCCCCGGCTGGTTCGCATCATGGTGGAAGCTGGGAGAGGTTGATACGCTCAGTTAGGAAAATACTGAATGTGACAATGAAAGAGCAAATTTTGGATGAAGAAGGCCTACAGACTCTGTTATGTGAAGCAGAAGCGGTCCTTAATAGCAGACCCATCACCAGAGCTTCTTCAGATTTAAATGACTTGGAGGCCTTGACACCCAATCATCTTCTTTTGCTCAAAACCAAGCCGACGTTCCCCCTGGGGTTTTCAATCAAGAAGATCAGTATGCCAGAAGAAAATGGAAGCAAGTCCAGTACCTGGCGGACATCTTCTGGAAACGCTGGTGTAAAGAATACCTCACACAGCTTCAAGAGCGCCAGAGGTGGTCCACTATTGGACGAAATCTTCAAGTTGGTGACGTGGTGTTGATCGTGGACGAAACATCTCCAAGGAGCTCATGGCCACTAGGAAAAGTGGTGGAGACTTTCCCAGACAAAAAGGGTCTCGTCCGTCAAGTGAAAGTCCGGACCAAAACCTCTCTGAGCTCTGTCGCCCTATCACCAAATTGTGTCTTCTCCTGGAAGCTGACACAGCATGAACTTTACATTTTTAGATATCTACATACTGTAGGCTCCCTTTAATGAATTAATCCATTTTAATAATTGTTATTGTAAACATGCTAACAATTAGGGGCCGGTAATGTTGGAGCCTAAATAGAAGTTTAGTTGTTTTGATTTTATTTTGATACATTTCTATTTTTGTTTGTATTACTATTTGATTGATATAGATTATTTTTTGTGATTAGATTAGATTTATGATTATTTGGCAATTGATTTAATTTGGTATATTTTGCATCTAATTTAGTTAATTATTTTGTTAATCATTATTGCTAAAGTTAATCATGGATTCATTTTGATTTAATATATATTTTTTATATTTTTTCTCAGTCCTGGCCCAGGCTAGTTAAGGCACAGGTGTGCCAGGAGAAAGGTGGAGTGTGGAGTGGAGCCACACAGTTTTTTGACCTCCTCTCTCCCTTCCTTGTCTTTAAGTCATTTTTCTTTTTGTACAGTATGTGTGTTTTGTGTGATTACTCAGTAAAGAGTTTTTTAATTGCATCTACTGTTCCATGGATTTATTCACACGCTTTATAGACAATGGATTATGGTTTGAGAGCGTCAACTACACGGCTTCACTGTTTGGACCCTACAATTGATATAACAAGATATGACCAGGGCCCCCCTCTGGCCTTGGTCATATCTTGTCGGGTTTGATTCAGGGCAATTGTCAGTAAGAATAGCAAAGCAAATATGTATGAATTTCACATGAAGATAAATTCCTAAAGTAAGACAAACAACGGAGCTACTGATGATTTCTTCCATATAGCACACCAAACAATCTAGATAAAACCCGATAACTTAAATACATTTTATTTCCAACCTCAGTGGATAAGAGCAGAAATGTTTTCTATTTCGCACAAAGAGATAATCGGCTCAAGATTGCAGGAAATGAATTGCTGTGGAGGTATGAGGCTCCTGGAAGTTGGAGGACCTGAAGAGTACGTGTGGCCCTTGGGCTGCTCTGACCTGTCGTTGAGGCAGCAGTAGATGATGGGGTTGTACATAGTGGAGCTCATGGCCAGCCACATGATGAAGAGGTACATCTGCTGGATATACAGCTCCTCGAACATGTCGGGAAAGAACTGGTGCAGCAGGAAATAGACGTGGTACGGCAGCCAGCAGATGGCGAAGGTGCACACGACCACGATCATCATCTTCACCACCTGAGGGAGGACACAACAAGCCAGAGATGAGGTCTGGAATCGTACGACCTTTCATCTGTGTGTGTGTGTAAGAGTTATGCTGTCAGATGGTTATCCTAAGCCAGCCATTCCCAAAGTCAGTAACACCGGGGCCCCCTTAAAAATCTGACGGGTCTGCGCGGCCCCCCCAAAATAATAACCAAGAAGACGATGATAAAAATAGGCTCTTCTCGTTACTTTATTTGGGGGATAAAGCCTCTGCTACAAACGTGTAAATGATAATCCCCACTCAAATGATTACAATTTGATGATTCAAGTCAAATAATGAACACAAATATTGTAAGATTACAAACAAAATATTATTATTTTAACATACAATAATTATATGAACATTTTTTTTTTTTGATGACCTCTTACGGCCCCCCTGCAGTACCCCCGCAGCCCACCAGGGGGCCGCGGACCCCACTTTGGGAGACACTGTCCTAAGCAATTTCAGCAAAAGAGCAGAAGCATAGGAAGCAATATATCTGGAGGGAAGTGTGGCTGTAGCAAAAGCGTTCCAAGCGTTTAACCTGGCAGCAGCTGTACAAGTATATCATGACAAAACATTCAAGAGAAGGAAGAATATTCAAGGTTCCAAGATTCATAGCCTCTGTTTATGTTTGAGAAGGATAGGTGCCAATACAACTTCATTACAACAAGTGAAACTGAGAAAATATTTATGTTGGAAAGTCCTTTTGACTGGCAACATCATGCATATGTCACGTTGGCAAATGGCAATAAGCCCAAAGTGCAGAACTACAAAAATGATGGCTTTAATAATAAAATTAAACAAAATCCAGAGTAAACACAACACTTTCACTGGTACTAAAAACCTGGACACTTTCAACAGAATCCTCCGGGAGTCATTGTTTTCCACAGTCAGACTCATTGTGCTATTTTACTTTGTATTTTCACCAGAACTGCAAAAATACAGAGCACAGATGAAGCTTCCGGACCTGACCATAAATCTTACACTGTCCTCCTATGCCTATAGTATCCGCAAAGTCTAAAACAGGTTACATGTCTAAAAGAAATTGAACATTGATCCTTCTGTACTGTACTTTTTTACAGTTTTTGAGTAGTTCGTTGTCGCTGCAGGGTCCAAGGACAGTGATGATTTTTCTGGTATTTAATCTGATATTTATGGACATTGGTAATTTGCCCCCCATGGACCAAGGGCTCCTATGTGGGTTTTTTAAATGATTGCATTTCTGTGTTCGAACTGATCTGTTGTTCACGAATCGACAATTTTCTGAAGCCCTCCGAGATGACTGCTGTTGTGATTTAAGGCAAAACACACACACTCTGAATGTCCTGTCAGCAACATTTAACTCATTCTAAATGTACCAACTCACCAAGATTTCACAAAACTTGCCGATCGATAGTCTCCTTGTGGTAAAAGACAAACGATGACATGATGGATTGGAGGTCTCTCTCTCTCTCTCTCTCTCTCTCTCTCTCTCTCTCTAATCCATGTGCGTCACTCAAAGAGCACCTATCCAGCAGGGTTTCAGATGTATATGTGAAGAATGGAAGTCAATCATTAGTGGATATAGACTGCACGGCACCGGAGGAGAGAATTTATGCACATAGGAACTTGTTAAACCAAGGAGCTGCCGTGCGTCTCTCAAGTAGAGATTAAATAAATGCAGAAATAAATTGCGGGGGAGTGTAGTGGCTAAGATCATTTCCAATTAAAAGGGAGGCCTTGCTATATGTATATACGGTGCTAGGGAATTAATCTCTCTTCTTTCAAATTGTGGAACTCAAACACCATATTGTGCAGTGTAACTGGTGTATTATGCTTTGTTTTATTATACAATTTAAATACTCTAAAAGAACTTTGTGAACTTTCAATACTCTTTTGTGAACTACCTGAAATCTTGCTTGTAGAGAATAATGAACGAGAACAGTATTTTGGATATTGACTATCTATATTTTAACCTCTGCCTACGGATAATGTAATTGTCTCTCTCTCTGTGTGTGTGTGTGTGTGTGTGTGTGTGTGTGTGTGTGTGTGTGTGTGTGTGTGTGTAGCCGAGGTCATTGTTTTAGCTGGACATTGGCAACAAAATTAAAGGTCAAATAAGACCAGAGTTTTGTTCAAAAACTGGAGAGGGAGGCTGTTTCCTAAACCTTTGGAGTATCCTAGGTAGGAAATTGGAACGCTGCTCTCATTGGCTTTTATATGCAACATTTGGAAGATATTTCTCCCATTGATAATATGTACCTTTGCGGGTCCATGTGTGTGTGGGGCTAGGACTGCTTGGCTCGGTGAAACATAGGTCGGCAGGCAATCATATTTTGTGCGTGTGTCTGTATGCACTAAAGTTCCGTGATAATTATTGACTTTTTTAAACCAGGAAAGTCCCACTGTTTTTTCAGGGGAGTCCTGGCCCCAGAGATAATGCGGGAGTGGGGTGGGTGAGGATGCTAGGCGGAGCTTTTTCACATGTTTTGTAGTGGTAGGGGACACTGGAGTACCTGGAGGAAACTTACGCGGACAAATGGTCTTAGAAACATCAGGAGGTGGAATTGAGCCCAGGACCTTCTTGCTGTGAGGCACAAGCGCTAACCTGTGTGTGTGTGTGTGTGTGTGTGCACTTGCAAATGTCCACCCATGGGGCCCTGGCATAGGATACACACCAACATCATGGGGCCCTCTGTCGCCGTGGGGCCCAAAATGCCAATAAATCCCAATAAAAAATAGAAATATGTACTATTCATATATTATTAATAACCCACGGAGCAAAAGGGAAGGGTGTTTTGTTGTGAGCTGTCAGATGTTTGACATATTTGATCGGTCTGTAGCTAGCACCGTGTTCTTGGGGTCATGTGTTGGGGCGGCAGTAACCGGCTCGACAGACTGATCAGGACATGTGTCTCTGTGATGGGGAGAAGGATGGGGGCTCTCCTGCAGGGCATCCTGGGTAGCTACAGACCCCCTCTGCATGACACTATGGGCCGCTCATAGGTGTAACCGTAGCAACAGGTTTCTATCACTGCGCTGCCGAACGGAAGGTTTTAAGAGATTCTTTGTTCCTTCGGCTATACGTTTATAACAGATATGTCTGAGTTAAACATGTGCGCTTTATTACTATTGTTAGTAACTTTTAGAAATGATGTATTTATTAATGCTTGTATGAATGACACCTGAATATGTCCTACGGGGGTCAATAAAGTATCTATCCATCTATTTTCACCGCCGACCCCTTTTCAATCTCTGTGTTTCTGGTTGTCTAGTTTGAAGTTTTGCAAAAGTTGAGTAGTATCTCATTTTCAAACCCCACAAAAATAACTGCAATCTATGTTATTAGTCCCTGTAGCTCTCCCAACAGTTTGTGTGCATGTGTTTTTGTGGAACTGCTTCTAAGACTGATACCAACTCAGCCCAAAGCCTCAAACACTGACTTACAATGTTTTCTTACTTTATTCTGTTAGAACCAGTGGGGGCGGGTCCCAGCTCAAAAGTGGCCAAAATGACGTGCGCTGACATGCTGCAATACCACCCCGGGCCGATGGGGGTGGACCCGGAATAAGAATTAGCCAATGCTAACATATAGCATCTTCTTACCGCTCAGCAACACCTTTACAGGATGGTGCAAAAGTTGGCTCTTGGCCCAAAGCTCCGTTCCACATGTGTGTCAATGCTGAGGGGAGTGTTTTGGACCAGTCTAGTTTAGTTGCTGTGAATTTTTAAAGTCACTCGTTTAAATGAACGGGACTCGTGCAGCTGACGCATGCACAGATGCGTTTTTTCACATATTCAAGCCCCCGCGGCCATTTTGAATCACTCCATGAGAGCCCAATTTTTGGCCCATTAGTTAGAACGGCGGAGATAGGTGTGACTACGTCCATTAATATATACAGTCTATGGTTAGGACAAACAAAATGCAGGTACCCCACCTTTAAGTTGCCGTAACTTTGACACCGGGAGTGAGAAAAAATACCACACACAGCTATTGAAAACATCGTCATCGACAAGTATTTCGTCCACATAGTTATTCTGAACATGAAACAATATGCAAGAACGGAACAAACCAAACGCACCTGTCCAGGCCTCGTATCATAGCAACAGCTCAGCGGCTTCTCAGTGTTATTCATTTTAAGGCGGCATTTTGATCCCTTATACGTTTTTTTCATTTTTTGAGGATTTCAGAACACATGTCTCTGTATAATAATAAAATAAAAAACATGCTGAACTTCATGTTGAACATATCCACAGGTTTTCAAAGATGTCTTTAGAAAGCACTGAGTTTTGGAGATCAGAACTAACACGAGGCCTTAAAAAACAAAATGGATTTGATTTGAGATAAAATATGCCTCAAAACATATTAAAAACAAAGGCTGTTTCTCCTTCACTTTGTTTTTAGGGACAGAGTATGATATATTTGGGAAGGTTTCACAACAGCATTAATGGTTGACATTTATATGGAGTCGAAATTGAGACAGAATAGACTTTTATAAACACAGGTATTAAAAAATCCAGCATAAGTTATGTCTGTTTTTATGTTTTCATCTATATCAACGTGGGCGAGTGCCTCTGTCTGGAGGGATGGGTCTAAAATGTCTCTAAAATGTCAATATTGTGTTTGTATCTTATAATAGGCTGGTGTCTGCAAGTGTTTTTTTCAGGTGGATTAATGGTCGTACTCAAACAATACATACTCTGAATTAAACATGAATAAATTAAGAAAAAATGATTATTAGATCGATAAAAAAAGCCATCTATTGAAGCCAGTATAAATATGCTACATCCCAAATTATTATCTAACCCTATATTTGAACCTAGGAAACTGGCAACCCCTCTGGCAATCAATATATTAAGTTCTTACAATGCCACAGCTTTGAATCTGGAAGTGAGAAATGATATCACACTTAAAGCAAACTATAATGAGGATATATCTCATTTTTTAATGAACTTTTAATGAACTTTTAACGTTTTAGAGCTCATTTTATTGCTATTTATATTTGTATAC